GAACTAAAGAAGCTCAGGGACAGCATTCAGGCCAAAGCTCAAGTCTGAGGACCTGGCAAAAAAAAAAACAACAACCAGAAAACCCAAGCCCAGAGCTAGTGGCTTGGGTCTGTAATCCTAGCTACTCAGGAGGCTGAGTGAGATCTGAGGATCACAGTTCAAAGCCAGCCTGAGCAGGAAAGTCTCCCGGGCAGGAAAGTCCATGAGACTCTTTAACTCCAATAAACCACCAGAAAACTGGAAGTGGTGCTGTGGCTCAAGTGGTAGTCCTTGCCTTGAGCTGAGGGACAGCACCCAGGTCCAGAGTTCAAGCCCCGTGACCACACACACACACAGACACACAGACACACACAGACACACACAGACACACACAGACACACACACACACCAAAAACCAAACAAAACAAAAAACATTTACATAATTGCCAGGAAACTACACACACACACACACCAAAACCAAAAAACAAAACAAAAAACATTTACATAATTGCCTGGAAACTACTGTTTCTTGCTGGAAAAATCCAATTTCAATTTCATTGTTTTTTTCTGCTAGTAAGATCACTGCCCAAAATAAAACATTCCTACTCATCTTCCTCTCGTGTCCTAAGATATCCTCATCACAAAAGATCACATGACCTAAATTTCAACCAACAGCTACCAGATTTGTGAGACCACATCTTATATCTTTCAACCCGGGGAATCCTCCAGTTGAATGATGGAACATGAATGAACCCAAACAAAACCAGTTATATTGCCCAACAGGCACACAGAATTGTAAAAAGTGGTATCAGTTTTTTTTTTAAACTTTTTTTTTTTGGGGGGGGGGTCCAGTCGTGGGGCCTGAACTCTGGGCTTGGGCACTGTCCCTCAGCTCTTCAGCTCAAGGCTAGTGCTCTACCACTTGAGCCACAGCGCCACTTCTGGCTTTTTCTGCTTATGTGGCGATGAGGAATCGAACCCAGGGCCTCATGCATGCGAGGTAAATAGTCTACCGCTGAGCCACCTTCCCAGCCCCTGAGGTGATTTCTTATGTGCCATAATTTTTACTTTCCTACTATTATATATTATACTATTACCATATATCCTTAATCTATTATGAAAAACCTACTTCTAACTGTGTCTGAGTCAAAAATTTGTCTTAAATATCAAGGGAAGTTATAGCACTGGTTTTACCAAAAGTACATTAGTACAAAATAAACTTATAGTATAAGGGAAGTGACCCCACAAAACACCAATGTATCACAAAACAAAGAATCTTCACAAGCACAGTTACAATTATACTATTTGTCCATCGCTGCGTATCTTTTTGGTGTTCTTTTTTTTCCCCTCCTAAAACAGCTCTGGAATTTTTTTTCCTCAATGAGATATATTTAGTTTACCAATCTAGTGAAAAGACATGGAGGATAAAAATGATCAAGTGAGGAAAGCACTGTGGCAAAATTTTGGGGGCCCTTATCTCTTTTCATTTTTGGCTGATTCATACTAACACACATATACTTAATCTTAAAATACTAATCAGGTAAAAATGTAATACCTCTATGGGAAAGTATTATGTTGTTGCCTGCCTACAAAATAGCACTTTAAAAGATAATTTGGTCTTTATAGGCATCATGCTTCAGTAACTATAAACCATTTTAGGGTTCTGTGCAAAGTGAGAAACATGTAAGGAGCTTTCAGGGTTCAAACCTTTCCCTCTTTGGACACAATGCATTAGGTGATTTAAAATCAAGTGTTCACCTGATCTAGTCTAACCAGTGAAGTCAGAGAAACATATCTGAGAACAGGAAAAACCTGCTTTGACCACATTACATTCCTATCAGAATAGAAAGACTAAACATTAAAATCAGTGAAAAGTAAACTCCAAATCTCAAATTACAAAGTAATTTTATCCTTTCTATGAACTTTTTTTGGGGGGAAGGGGTACCTATTAGTAACTTTACTGAAGGTAAAATTTTTGGGAAGTGGCGCTGTGGTGGCTCAAGTGGTAGAGCCTTAGCCTTGAGCTGAAGAGCTCAGGGAGGGCACCCAGGCCCAGAGTTTAAGCCCCACAACCAACCAAAAAAAAAAAAAAAAGAAAGATAAACTTTTTGTAAAGCAATAAACAATTTACAATTTGATAAATGGAGTCACTACACTGGAATCTGCTTGAAAAATGCTTGTAATTTTAGTGCAAACTCAAAATCTTTTAAATTTTAAATTGTAATCATTCGAAGTGACCTATTGTTCACTCATTATTTATATTTGAACAAATTAGTTAAGGTTAATTTGTTGCTTCAAAGTTTGGTTTGACACTGGGCATCAGTGGACCACGCCTGTAATCCTAGCTACTCAAGAGGCTGAGATCTGAGGATCTCAATTCAAAGCAAGGAAACTCCTGAGACTCTTATCCGCAATTAACTACCAAAACCAGTGGCTGTGGCTCGAAGTGGGAGAGCACTAGTCCTGAGCGCAAAAGCTCAGGGACAGGCAGGAGGCCTTGAGTTCAAGCCCCAGGACCAGCGCGCACACACCCGCACACATAGTTTGGTTTGATGCAAGCTTCTATTTCACTTATGCACTTAACTATGTGGAACAGAAGAAATCTATCAGTAAAAATTATCTAAAAACAATTTTTATTTGGTTTAGGGATAAAATAAGCTCTCCATTACACAGCAGAGAGCATTAACTTTCTAATACAATACAGATCTTTCAGATGATAAAATTCAATTTACTGAAAACTTCAGCTACAGGAAGCAAAGTCACTTCCTTTTTTAAAAAGAATCATGACTTGGGGATTTGTTTTTCTAATCTAAGTCCTAGTTATCCTTCACATCTTAGTTCAAGAAATACTTCCTGTTATTTTCTCCCAAGATTACCCCTTCTTTTTGTTCCTATGGTACTACTATAGTACAATATATGTTGTTTATACATTATTCTAATTAATGAGTTAGTTGTGGATGGAAGATGCTGTGTCCATTCTTGTAATGTGAAGCCTTATTTATAATCAGACAAATCACAAGTTATCAAAAATGTTTTATACAACCTAACAAATTTTGCATCATAAAAATCACTTTCCTAAAGTTAAAATGTGGTTAACTCTAATACATACAACAGATGGAGTGTGAGAAATGGAAATAGAATTGACTAAAAATTGGCTCCACAATTCATGAATGACTTATGTCCAAACTGATGTCGTGACATCATCCTGTAGAACATACTGGGGTATCTTTATGTCCTGTTTTTAATGTGGGAAAATTAGTCTACTTGTCAATGTGGCAGAAAAAGGCAAGCCCTGTACTTAAGTAGGAATTCTTACTCAAGAGAGCTCACCCAGGGTTGGGGTTATAGCTCAAAGACTGAGCCAGGTGCTTAGTATGCAGAGGAACTTTTGGGTTCCATAAAAAGACACTTGGCCTATCATAAAACTGAAAATAACCTAAGACCATGTACATTAGTCATTTAAGGTGATGAGTTGTAAACAGTATTTTTTTCTTTTAAATTTGGAATACATAACTTAAAAACATACATTTGCATATGAAGCAGTAAGCATGTTGTATGTTGTTTGTGTGAGGGAGAGGGCCCACACTACTGGTAGTCATTTTTAAGGTTTTGCTAATCAGAATCTTTGGCTGTAAACGAAGGTTGATGGCTGGATTTAACCATCAACCCCCTTTGTTTATATTCATTAAAAAATTCACACTGTAAATACTGTTTCCTGGTGTGTTGCCTGCTTTACATAGTACTCCATCTAGTAATTCAATCCAATATCTAGGAATCAACTATGGACCCAAGGAAATCTGAAGAGGTCAAATAATCAGGGCAAAATTCTGACTCCTGCTCTGCCTCAGCACTGCAATAGCACTGCTGCTGTTTCCCCGAAACGCTGGAGAAGCTACTGACCCCATTTCTGGAAAGAAATGTCTTGTTACCTCATGAAAATAGTATCTCTCTTCTTAACAGTAATAGTTGGATTTTTCAAATAAATAATTATTTCGAGTGCTTATTTGCCTCTTAGTTCTGGACAGAAATGGGTAGATAGGAGGAAGACATTTAAAGCCATGAAAAAATAAAGAGTTTCGTTTAAAAAACAAACAAACAAACCAAAAATCCTACAAGCGCTCCTGTGCGGGGATGTAGGGTTACTAAATTCAGCGTTACTGGGCACATCACCAGACAGTGACCAGTCGTGACGATGTATTACTCACACAGAGATTTTCCCCGCCTACTAGTATCTACTTGTGTGTGTGTGTGGGGGGGGAGTATTAATTAGGGAATTTAGATGTGTTTGTACACATTCATTCTTCACTACGCAGTTTCCTCCCAACAAGTGCGGACTGAACTACTCGCACCTTCCCTGTCTTGTTTTTAACTTCGGAAGCCAACAGGTCCTCTTTTGCTGTGAAGCAGCACCTATTTTAAATTCGAAGGCTACAGAGTCGTCACCACCACCACCACCACCACCATACAAGTGTCGCGATATTTGGACATTAGAGCCAGCAAAGTGAGATCTTCACCCGAGTGACAAAGTGACTCCAGTCCCGGGCCGAGCTCTCCCCAAGCCCCGAGTCTCCCCTCCCACACGCAATACCTCACTCACGACACCCCCAAGACTCGCAAGGCTCGGGGTGGGGTGGGGGGATCCTAGGGCAGCAGCCCCCGGGGCAGGCCGCGCCGGGCCAAGTGGGGTCCCAGCCCCTCTCCCCTCGCCCACACGCATCCATTAGCAAGACGCACAATCTGTTGCCTTCACCCGTCACAAACTCGGCCGCCGGACACGGGCCGGGCAGCAGCGAGGCGGCCAGCACCCGGCCCCCGGACCTCTGCCCAGTGCGTCCCGGCGATCGCCCACCCGACTCTGCCACCACACCCGGGCGAGCACGGCCCTCGCCCCGGCCCCGGTCCACACGCAGACCCCGGCGGCGGCCCCCGCCCCGGGGCCGGGGCCTGCGCCCCGTGCTCCCCTCCCCCACCCGCGGCCTGGTCCTGAACCAGCGCCCCGGGCTCCCGCCGGCACTCATTACCCTGGCGGGCACCGAGCAGGGCGCGTCCCCCCCTTCGCTGCAGGCACACCGCCGTCCTCCTCTTCCGATTCTGGGCCTCAGGACCGAAAGCACAGTCGTCTTCAGCAAAGCACAATGGCGGCCGCCCCTGTGCCGGATCCGGCGCAGAACCAGCAGCCACCGTTAAGTGCCCCTCCCTTCCTCTCCCTTCCCCACCCACTTCTCGGACCTGCTGGCTTCTCGCGAGAGTGGCGGCGCTGCGGGGCTCCCAGAGCTGCCGGCTTGGCTCGACGTGCCCCGCCGCGGGGTGGTGCTCTGACTTCGGCAACCGTTGAAGGACTGCCTCGGGGGGGAAGCGGCCCCGGTAAGC